ATTTAGCTGCAGAAGAAACTAAAACGGAAGTAAGCATTGATCTTTAATTCACTAGGAGAGCAGAAACACATCCAGGTTAGTACTTATGAATAGTTGGTGTAAATAGGCAAAACTAAATTAATGCAAGTATTATGAATTTTTAAAAAAAGGTCTTCAAAAAAGACCATAGTAAACAGCAGTTCATCCTACCTCTTAAACCCTCATCTGAACTGCAAATGTAATGACAGATGAAAACATTTACTCATACACATTTAGTATAATCACATAATAAGAATGTATTAAAAGTGACCCTGTTATGCTCATTTGCAGCCTGTATTTTTATTATTCCATTCTACTAGAGTTGATTTGTGTGGCTTCTTTCAGCTGCTCCCTTATTCTTAAGGGGTCGCCACAGCGGGCAGCACTGCATGTTTGATTTGGCACATTTTTATGCGGGATGTCCTTCCTGACAAAACCTCCAAGGGATTTGTGTCTCTTTTCTCAATCGAAATGGGGTCTTTTGCTTGTTAGGCGAACTATTCTGTTCAATAAGTAGGAATCAGTTGGAAGAAATTAACATGAGTTTATTGAGATACAGAATTCAGTCAGACTGTTTGGCAATTAGACTATGATAGGAGTGAAGGACCCCTTGAAGTCTAGAAGCTGGTGGTGGTGAAGATGAAGATGGTGCAGGGTAAGGGGGAGATGGGGAGGAGGTGGGTTGTACAAAAGGCAGAAAGACATAAAAGCACAGAGATTTAAAGTACGCAAAATGCAGGCAAGAAGATGATTGGACAGCCTCGATGATGTCATCATTAAGTTTGACAGCGTGAGAAAGTGGAAGTGATGTAAAGGAATAGACTAGCAGCCGAGTACCCGGGAAAGCAGGCGGCTGAGTGATTACAGATCTTCCTTCTTGAACTTGCACATACGCTTCATGGTAACAGTTGAAAATAATCCTTGTTGACCTTGCACTGGGTGTTGGTGCAGCACCTCAGTTCATCCACTCTCTGCAACAAGCTGTTTGAGCTCCCTTCCCCTTTCCTTTAAAGCCAGCTGTCTTCTGATTGGCTGCTCAAACAAGCAGAACGCTTTGAAGGTGGGTGGAGCTTCTGATCCAGAATGAATTCACTGTTGTTTGTTTTTTGTTTTTTAACCCTGACTGCTTGTCCCATCTTTTAATTTCAGCCCACAGAAACATTTTGTTTTTAAAGCATTTCTAAGAACTGTGTGCCATGAGATGACGGGGCCACAAGATTATTTTATGATTACTCATTACCTAGCATAAAAACACCCTCTGGGATTTGGCTCTAAGTATAATGATGGTCAGAATGATGAGTTTAGATAGGTGAAAAATAATCCCACCTTACTTGGAATTTCTTTTTTTTTTTGGTTGTGCTCTGACTTTTGAAAATACTCAGTGAGAACTGCAGATAAAGTCAATATAGACAACCAGGATTTTAAAAAAAGTTTTAGAAAACCTTGCCACAAAGGGAATATTTTATAAAAACGCAAACAGTTTGGACACACTTACCTTCAGTTTGTCCTACTCTCACATATACAAGGTTCTCGGTAAGTTACTCACTATTTTGGCCAGTGTGCGCCATGATTCCTCCAGCCAGGAGAGTCAGTGGAAAGATATACATACATGTGAAGAGACTTGTAAATGTTTAATTTATCGGATCTGAAAAGTACTAATAATAGCAAAGTAAAACTGGAATGGAATTTAATTTACGCCTCATATTTTCTGTGCCTCAGTTTCGTATCTCAGTGGTTGTTTTGCCAGTCTTTGAGGTCTGGATCGTTTCCAACAGTGCCTGATCTGTGTCTTATAGCATTGAAGTTATAAGCTGACTTTTTGATGATCTTTATTCCCAGTCAGGCCCACTATTGTCAGCAAGATTATCAGTAACCCAGACTGATTTTTATATTGCATCCAGTGGCTATATTATACAGTTCAGTTTCTTCATAATCATGTCAAGCACAAGCAGTATTGTTTAGCACCCAGGGGACCAATGCCCTAGATGTTGCTGTGATTCAGAATGAATATAATATATATCTAGAGGCCTCCACAATCAGTCATTCAGAGAAAGTTCCTAGTTTTCCTGGACTTGTGCAACCCCCTTTCCTAGTCTGCCCACAATACACTTTGCTCAGACATTGTGCAGCACAATGAGATACAAATTGAATTCCTCCTCCTACCTTATCGTTTAGATAAATCACCTGAGTCTTTTCTGTGCTAGAAAAGATGAGGAGAAACAGGAGATGGCACAGAATGGAGCTTTGGGGATATTCCCCCCCCCCTCCTCTGTTAAAGCGTTCTCCAGTTTCCAATAGCAAGAACATGTAATTTCATTCACCAAGTTTTCATAGCTGTATACTATTGTGCGTTGAAGTTTGTGTCCCAGTTTGTGCTAGTGTCATGCAGTCCACCGAGACAGGAAAAAGAGTTCATTTCACTCAGCTTTTTTTGGATGCAATGTTTCGCTTTCTCATGCCACTGATTTCTCTTGCATCTCCAGAGACTTCCAGTTTGGCCACATGGACGGGAATGACTACATTAACAGCCTCATTATGGGGTAAGTGTCTCACATTCAGCCTCCCTCTCTCTTCTCGTGTCATCCTCCTCGTTCTCAGCCTCATGTTACCTTCTGTCAGCTACTTATCCAGGTCTGCACTGACTTGTAATGCCAGCCTCTGCCATTAAAGATGCTCTCTTGTGGAGAAGTCAATTACACAGACTGTCATTTCTTTTTTAGTGCTCTTGGAAACTTTAAACCCCCCCCTTTCCCCCTCAACATCCAGCATACACCCAGGAAAAGCACCAAGATCCACAAGCTCATGCAAATCTGGTTGTGAAAGGGCAGCCTATTGAGATGAATATGTGAGGAGTTTAGGGATAGCGGGCTGTGCGTGGATTAAATCTATAGCGATCGTGTATTTTTCTAATAGCTTGCCAAAGAGCAACGCTAATGATGCAGTTAGACCCTTTGCTGCAGCAGCTTTGTGCCCAAGCTGAGGCTGGCTGTTAGGGTGTCATGCTTAGGGAGGCCTTGAAACTGACATCCCTTCCTTTTAATTAGGCAGAACCCCACTACGACCAGGATGGCTGTCGCAGTCGGCATGTCTGTTTTGTGTCTACTAACGTACAGCATCTAATTATGTGTGTCTGTATAATTTTGTGTGAGAATCTGCATGCGTAAAACGACCGCGGCAGGATGTTATTTTAATTTGAGCATGTTATTGTTTGTATGAGCAAGATTATAGCAGACATGGTGTCCCAAGTCCTGTGTAATTTAGTCAGTGTGTCACTGAGTACAGTAGAAGTTATGGCTTGAAATATAACTACATTGAACCAGCAGGCTTCTGGTGCACAGTTGAAAATAGGCGGTGTTTATATTTAAGGATAAAAGAGGTGATTAGCCTTCCTAATTTTGTATGAGCACATACAATATGTATTTTTCCTGGGTTTTAGGGGACTGAATTTAGCTGCTGTAGCGCAGGATTAATTGCCCTCCTTTGAGGAATAAAATCCTGGCCTGTCAATGTCCACTAATCCTTTCCCTTAGGAGGGCCATGGAAATAAATCTGATGGCTTTTTATTCCTCTTTCTGTCATCACAGCGATTACTGTGTTCTGGCAGCAGTCTGTCTGGCGTAAGGCTGCTTCTGCTTTCACCAGAGGCACACAAACACACTCAGGAATACACACATACCAGATGAGAACCACTCAAAGTCTGAGGTCGTCTTTGTTTCTGTTTAAATGTAGGATTATCTCTAACCCCTTATATGGGATGCATTGTAGGCTGTGAAAAACGTGAAAAGATGTGAGCTGACTGAAAACTGGCAATATCCAGGGAGGACTTGTAATCGGAATGGGAATGATTACGAAAGGCATTTCTCCAGTTGGACATCCAAATGAACGACCTCCTGATGTCAGCAAACATCATTTTCTGATAACTTTAAATTGATATTTATCCAGATTTTATGTTGGCACGCATCCTAAATGTATATTCTGGACATACTGTGATAATGATTATCATAGTTTACAGCTGGGATTAGTAATTAGGCCTTCTTACAATAATTAATGCTCAGAAAATGCTTCTGGTAACAAAGCGCAAAAGGAAACTTTGAGAAAAACGAACTGATGAACTGTTGCTAATGAGTCCTGTTAAAAAAAACGAAATAAAATAACATGAAGCCCTCAAATGTGTAAACTGCACATAATTTGTGCACAATTTGTTCACTTCTATTTTCATTTTTTAACACCAACAAACATTAGTGCATTAAAGTCAATATTTCAAAAATGTATTAATATATATGTTGTCCAATGTGCACAAAGGGTCAATGGGAAAGCACAAGACATGCCGAAAATTGCATAATTTAGAAATTGTGTAATCACATTGTGCCCAGCAGAGCAGCTTGAGCTGCAGCACATGTAGGCGAGAACATGCCAAAGCTGAGCAGACAGTTGTGAAGTCTTTGGTGTCTTCACAGTAAATTAATAACTAGTTTGTTAAAATTAATTTGCTGAATTTTTAATGAACAACAACCCTGTTCAGAATATAAAGAACAGCTTCTGATAAATCAGTATTAGACAACTGTTGGTTAGTGGTTGCTGGAGGTTGGAGGTAGAAGTCATTGTTTAATTGATTGCTAAAGCTTTAATCAGGCAGGCATCGAGACTGGTCAGTCACCCCCAAGCACTGACCAGCCTCCGGAGAAAGGAGGAATGACGAATAGTTGCTGGCAGTCGTAAAGAGGTACCAAAAACCTCCTTGTGATTGCTTTGGTTGTTAGCAGACTGCCTGTAGAGTGGCTCCAATACACTGACGAACAAAAAGCTTGGCTCAAGTCTTCAAGATGGGACTCTCATGTAGTTAGGGATGGGTACCGGTATCCAGTGTCATTATGGCACCGGTTCTGACATAAACGGTAGTAACCAGACCGAAAAGCAGCGCACATTTCGGTGCTTTATTTCAGTGCTTTATTTCAGTGCTTTTTTTCCCTGAGATGTCATACACTTTGGATTCTAGCCAATCATTTTACCTTTCCAAGGATAGTAGGCGGGCCCAGGTACGTATGCTCTTTTAGAGCAGAGCTACAGATTAAAAATGTCCAAGGCGAAGCGGTCAAAAGTCTGGCTGTACTTCACAGCAAAAGATGCAAACTCAGCAGCAACAAGTGCTTTAAGTTGATATCGTGCAAAGGAGGTAACGCCTCGAATCTGATGAAACACCTGGCGACGCATAGCCTTTTTTTAAAAGCCGAGAAATCACCGTATTTGATAGCTTGCTGCAAGACCGAGCACCGAGCACATCTACCCATCCCTACATGTAGTCTGTGCTTCTTGTGTTAGTTCTAATGAATACCAATAGTTTCTCAGCTCCTGCTCCATAGTGAATCCAAAGACATGCAATGGTATCTTATCGTCTAACTTTCTATCTAATATGCAAATTCCCCCAAATCCCGAGTTATTACTTGAATAGTGAATTTTGGCTAGACTAGAAATGAGCTCACTATTACTTTAATTCCTTTAGCAGTTTGTACAGATCTTGTAGGATGGTACATAAAAGAAAAACAACAACAAAACCACTGGCCCTAATTGCATAGAAACCATTTTTTGCAGTAGAAGAAGAATGTGTGCAAATGGTAGAATATATGACCCTTAATTATGGTGGCGAACCCCCAGTAGTCCCACTAACTGAGGCACCTAGGCTAATCCATATTTATTTTAAATGGGTGCCATCTGTTGGAGTAGGCTGGATGTCAGATGGAAATACCCATTCATAATGTGTGTGTGGTTGTGTGTGTGTGAGAGAGAGAGATTGCAGAACTCAGCTGGACAGAGTAGTGAGGCACTGATGACTCTACCGCACAGGCGTATATGTTTGCACTCCTGATTTCAGCGGGGTGGTGGATTGGGACAGTGATGGATATGCGTGCGTGTGTGTGCAATTTGTTGCTGGGTTGAGTAACACCGCGGGGATGTAAGGTGGCAGCGCCGTGATGGACTGTTTGTGCGCCTGTGTGCATGTGTGTATCTAAGCACTAGGATACCTTATCTAAGCCAGGCTTTGGTGTTGTGCGAGACGTGTGGAAGAGGGATCGGTTGTTTGTATGACCTTATTCCCTATCTCACTGAGTTTTGTAATTCCTCTGCTGATTTGTCGAAATGAGCCGGCTTGGCAGCGTACAGCGTGTCACTGTTTCTGTGTTTTCTGTTAAAACAAAGCCTGTAAGATCACTGGAGTAGTTAGTATATGTTTTGTACGTGTCTCGGTGTGGATGCAGAGCTGCCTTCCTCTGGACTCCCTGGGCTTCACTTGTCAGTTTTAGTTTGTAAAGGTCTCTTTAACTGTGACCGGCACAGACCCATAAAACCCCTGAGTTGCACACTCTTTGTATAAAAGATGGAAGAAATGCCACTCTGAAATGGGCCACACTGCATCGCCTTTTTCCTTGGGAAAGAAAAATTCTCTGTTTGAAAGAAAACCCATGGGAAAAGTTGGGTTGCTCAGAGTACAAAGGGTTTGTTTATCTCACTATTGTATTCTCTGTGTTGCAATTTATTCTTTAAGACTACAATTTGTTCCCATCTAATGATGCTCTTTGATAATGGCAGTCTGAGGTGTGGGGGTTAAGAAGATTAAAAGCCGTGTTTCCTGTTTTTTTTCCTCAGCGAGGTGACAGTTCCCTCCGTTATCATCCTCAACACATCCAACGAGCAGTACTTCCTGCCCAGTGAGCCGATCGAAAGCATGGAGCAGCTGGTCCAATTCATCAGCAGTGTTCTGAACGGTTCTGCACAGGTCCAAATCCTTCCCTCTCCCCTCCCTTGCCTCCCTTTCCTGCTTTCTGTTTATGTATTCAGCCTGGTGTAGCCTTCGCTCCCCTTCACCTTATGTTGTACTGTTGTAATCACACCAAATCTTCATTAATCAAGCATGTTGCCTTGCATTTTAAGTCCCCCCCTCAGAAAAATATTTTTTATCAGATGAGATATTTTTCCAATCTCCTTTTTGCATGTTTAGATTTCATATTGCATTCCCTTTTGAATAGATTATCTGCAATAATTCTATGTTCTGAGCCAAACACTGAGATTACTACATGACTTTGTATTGTAGTGTGCGCACTAATCTGGAAAATAAATGTCATCGTTCTCTCTACTCTACGCTAAAGTCACCAGATGTATGAAACCATAAGCCAAACACCCAAAGGTCTTTTTCCTTTTTCCGAGAATGGTCTGGGCTATTTTTCGCCTGGCAAAACAAACCACCCTCCCACCAAATACACAGCAACAGAAACCACCATGTTTCTGCAGTCCAGTTTTAGCCAAGCCCCGGACAGTTTCAGCCTCTACACGTCAGGCTCGTAATGTCAGCCATGTGGTGTCTCAGGGCCCCTTTGTCCTTCATGTAGAAATGCACCAAATAAAGTTTTTGCCCCACAAAAAATGTTACCATAGAATAGAAGTGGATTTCAAGGATTTTCTTGTGGAGTGTAGGGAGCTTTTTTGCTCCAAGCATGATCAAGTTTTGTGAATCTTTAATGCTTTTTCAATGGAAGTATAAAAAACATGAGAACTGGGTGTGTTTTTTGTGGAATTCGCCTCCTGTGAAGCATGAACCAGCCTCAAGAACAGAGTTACCTTAGCAGTCTGTCACATCGCTACACCTGGTTTTCATGGAATAATTATTTTATTTTTTTAAACTCACTGCTGCCATATTTAAGTCCTCGTTCCTTTGCTTCGTTTCAATTAAGAAGAAAAAGCTACAACTTCTTTATATGTTGTTTTTGCATAAGGATGTCTGATACCTTGCGTAGTTCTCATGCAATTTGTGCTTAGTCTGTTCAGCAGCTGCATCCACAAAGATTGTCTCATACCCCACCTTCAGCTCATTTCCAGAAGTCCTGCTTAGTTGGAGCTCACTAATTGGCCATCCTGATGAATTAGCATCAGGACAAATCACTCATTGGCTGCCCCGGTGCTTTTTGCCAATAAATGAGCTCAGATGGAGCAGAACTGCTGCACTGTGAGCAAACTAGAGTCAAGCACATTAGATAATTTTGTGCAAGGAAGCGGTTAATTAAACATTATTTAAAATGTCTGAAATGTACTAAGCACATGACCGGAGAACTGAAACCTGGATATTTCAGTCTGTGTATAGTATGTGTTGCTGTTTGCGAAGTTTTTATTGATTTATTGATTGTTTTGTGGTTTAGGGAATGCTTCCAGGTAACTGCATCAAATTGTTGTTGCCAAGCTGAAGAGTGCATGAAACCCTGCGCATGTCCTATAGAACTGGGATAGACTACACGTAGTAGCTTATCTGTGTCCATTAAACTCTGTCTTCCTGCAGGCATATGGAGGTGACGGCATCATTCAGAGGATCAAACGTGTTGCCTTTGATGCCAGGTCCACCATTATGGTAAGTTGGTGAGATTTCAATCAGAGAATATTGCCTAAGCAGGATGTAGCTCAAGTTCAAAGTGAAATGAAATACAAAACATCATCTAAGATTTCCACCAAAAAGCAATAAATATGTACAAAAGAGCGTAAAATAATTCAGTCTGCAGGATGTCTGCATCAAGTGTTCCTCAGGACTGAAGAAACAATATGACTAAAATTCAATTATGTCTTTTTTGTGCCCCGTTCATGAAGAATCAAGCTCCAAAACGATATTATTATTATTATTATTATTATTATTATTATTGTTGTTGTTGTTGTTGTTGTTATTATTTCGTTGCATAGTTGCATTCCTAAAAATGAATTTAAGTGGTTGAATGTTATGCTTCATTATTATGCTGACCTCTCAGAGGGACTCAGTATGCCGGCTGAAATTTGGGTATAAAAATGGTAATTCAGTTTATTTAATAAATAACAATACATTTCTGAGATTTAAACAACCTTTTGACAAATTTTCTCAGTTTTGACAGACGGTATCATAGATTTGTATTAAAGTTGACTTAGCATACAGTGGCCAAAAGTTCAATATTTGCACTGCTTTGGTTCTGTTTTGGTCTCCACCACCTTCATGGGGAAATGTGTTTTTTCTGTGTTCACCAGCTAATTGGAACTATTAACTAATGGCTTGTATACAGTTGGAACAATGTTCTGTGGGTTCTCACATTACATACAACACTTACTGTTTGTCAAATAAGAGTATTGCAGATGATTATCCAATCTAGCTTTCAAGCTAATATTACTTCAGGGTAATTTTACCATGCGACATGCTACTCAGAGGACGCTCTGCTGTTTAAGGATACCAGGCTTCACCTCTACAATTAAAGCGCAGCATTATCGTGCTGCACAATATCAAATTGCCCCTGTTATGGAATAATATTCTTGCTGTGTTTCAAAATGTGCTTCACCTTGACTGCGTTTGCTAAATTAGGGTTAATGCTCTGTGTTCAAGCTGCTCTGCAACAATGTCAAACAAATGCCCCTGTGCACTCCACTTTTCCTCTTTGAGGATAAACAACATTTAGAGGACAAGATTGGATGTACAACTGAGAATATGCAGTACAGGCAGTAAACAGTCCGTAGGGAGAGGGGGGGAAAAAAACAGCAGAGCAGATGGAGGTGGAGTGTTGAGGGAGGAGAGGGTCAGGCGGCTGAACTTCTCCTTCTTTTACTCTAAGTAGTTGGTTCTTTTGGGAGAACTAGTGTTTATTTTACCAAGGGTGTGATAGGAATGTAAATACAGCTGTGAATAATACCTCTCAGCAGGCATGGTTGAACTTTAACCACGACTAACACTCTGCTCCGCCCATAACAGTGTCCTTAAAGCCATGTGGAGCATGTCTAAATGAGAATCGCATGCTTTAATGTTAGATTGAAGTAAAGGGTTTGAATTAAAGCTCAAACGAGAGCCTTTTAACAAGATATTAATTGAAGGTTTAATTCTTCGTGCGTCAAATCAGGCTTGACTCTCGGGTTATTAAATGAAATCAGTCATAAAGTAAGCCAGATGAGCAATGGGTAAACGTTTCAGTGCAAAAGAAAAGCTGTATTTCTTTGAGCTAAAAAAGCAACAATGCAGGATCTTTATTTGACTTCTTCTATTGGCTGCTTAAAAGTAAAAATCTTGTGTCAAGGGTCTGACTTACATCTGTAAGAGAAATGAAATGTGAGACTTGTGCTTTCCTAAATTTAGCAAGCTGGAAGTATCACCAGTCTAGTTTTGCTTACAGTGACATGATATAATATAGAGGAGATAGGCAACAGCCATCACCTTGCCCCTAGAGAGCCTATTTAAATTCATGTCTGACAGGAGCATGAAGAAGCAAGCGCATTAAGTCCAATGAGTCATAGCCAGCTGTGTTAGCATAGCATGCCCATCCTTTCCCTCATCCAGCATCACAGAGCACCGGCAATTACCATTCCTCTTCCTGCGGCAACGACTGAAGGGAACGTGAGTGTTTCTCTTCTTCTCAGCTCAGTGGCTGGCAGGAGTTGGGACCGAATGTGCCCTTTTAGGTGGATTCTCTCTGATGCAGTTTGCTACATTAAGATCATCTGAATTGTGCTTCACGTGTTCCTGAAAGAAAAAAAAAACAGGTTTAATTACACTGGAGTGCTTAAGAAATATTAGAAATAAATTGTATCAAAGTGTAAAACATGGATGTGAAATGAGGGGTGCCTTAATTATTACCAGAGAGCAACTTGTTGGCTCTGCGTGTTTACTTTGATTTTTCTCTTAAGTGATCCTCAAGGATAAATGTAGTTGTTATAAATGTGCAAATTTGTCACTAACGCTGGTTTAATTTAAAATGAAAAGGTTGTAATTAGGATGGAAAGCACAGTCTCGACAAATGTAGCGTCCACAGAGGTTTGTGTCACGTTCCTCCAGCAGCTTTTTGCTCATTTCCGTTTCATCTTCGTCTCATAAGCGAGATTAGCCAGCTTGTGACCTGTAGTTACCTATAGCATCATGCTCTGTGCAGGTCTGCAGAGATTTACATTCATATTCATGGAAGCATAATTTCGGCTTTAATGTGCTCGCACGCACTAAAGCCGAGGGAGGTGGGAGGTGAGCCCGTAATAAGCAGGGCAGTGTGTGTGCAGGCAGTAGCTTCAGAAAGACTAGTGCGTAACGGTGGGCCTGTGCTCGTGTTTGATGTTTGATTTTTCTTTATTCATCTTAGTTGAGTTTGTAAAATGAGAAAGTAAAAGAAACATGAAGGATGTTCAATTGAAGGCCAACGCTCTCCAATATGGTCATTTGGTGTAAAACAAAACAAGCGGCACAGCAGACGATACAAATAGTTTAACACACTATAAGCATCTGAAAATTACAGGATAGAAGTGGAATTAATACTAAAACATTAAACCCTACGTGAGTGTATGGAAATGTTTCATGACCAGCTTTTTAAAAACTTACACAACATGTAGTGTAAATGATATAATACATGAATAAGTTACAAACTTGGCAAAAAAGTGTTTTGATCTGCAGATCTGATTTGAATTTGCGTAACTTTCCGCAGCTAAAGGCAGGCTCTTTGCTACTACAAACACTGGTTGTTGAGAGCAATGTGATGCTTTTATGGGACTGGACTGAACAGGTTGTGTTACAAGTAAGCAAGTCTCAGTGTGTGAATTTAAGAAACTGCAGCACTGACTCATCGTGGGACCTCTTGACCACAACTGAGCTTTAGGGTCTTATTTATCATATTTCCTCCCTTGTAGGCTCCGATAATGTGTGCACATGTCAAAGTACATGTGGCAGTTTCATTATATTTTGCCCCGAGCTCCTAAACTAACCATCACTCCTACTAGCTGTTAGTCGTGGTAGACAGACAATCGGAACGAATTGACATTTTGCTGGATATTGATTTAGCCTGACATTTACCTCTTGTTAGCAGATTGTTTTGTCTTAAGCAGTCCTCATACTCACTTGACATCCCTTTTACTTTCCTTTTATTACCATTTGCTAGTAGTGTAGCTGGTTATTTCTGCGAATGACCTCAGATTACTGTGTACAGATGTATTCATTTTAATTTTTACTCCCCATTTTCTTGTCTGTGTCATGCGTGGATCTTGCTGAGAAGCTAGCTGGATTTCAGATTTTTTTTCCCCATAGAAAGGAAAACAAAATTAATCTTGTGAACGATGATCAGTTAGTGAAGGAAGAAAAAATCAGATTTCTTGGATAATATTATTGTTTGCACATAAATGTTTTGACTGACAGACATACAGATAGATCAAGAGCACGGTGATGGATGAGACCATTAAAGACAAGTCGTTCGCCAATGAGTGTGTAGATTTGAACCAAAATTTACAAAAAATTAGTTTTTATTCAGCATGACCATAAATGGGTGACTGAAAGTGTTCACAGACATCAAGACAGATTTTTTTTTTAATATATATAGACTTCTATAGGGCCAGGACTCTATTTGCAACCACAGCTGTCGCCATCTGGTGCACGTTCAAGACACTTCAGCATAATTAAATTTTCCATATTAACTTCACAATATATTAAACAACACTGGAAATAGCGATTGAGTAATTAGAAACCTATCTGGAAATAATTGTCACTCAAATTTTTAAATCAAATAACAAACAATGATCACTTCCTCGTGTACGCTGTATGGATACAAGTATTGGGCCACACCTCTAAATCACTGAATCCAGTTGCTTTTCGACCTGTTGCCACAGGGGTATAAAATCGAACTCTTGGCCATGCTGTCTGCTTTTACAAACATTTGTGGAGGAAGGGTAATCCTAATGCGCTAACAGAGTTTGAGTGTGGTACAATAAGAGGATGCCACTATTGCGAAAAGTTATTTTATGAACTTTCTTCCCTCATAGATATTCATCAATCTTTTATTTGCAGTTAATGGTGTTTAAAGTGGTGTTTGGTTGCTGAAAGATAAAACTAAGGTTATATATTTTTCTCTTTTGTATTTTCTCACTGGATTATTTCAGTGTTTTCCTCAAGTTACTGTATTAGTGTCTTTTACAAATTTGTCTCCCTATACTCTCCCTCACCCCTCGTGCTTCGCGTTCTTAATTTTCCTTTCATCTTTCGCTGTCTTCTTTCCCTCATCAGTCGGTGTTTCGCAGCTCTCCACTGCTGGGCTGCTTCCTGTTTGGCCTACCGCTGGGCGTAATTAGCCTGATGTGCTATGGCATCTGCACAGCTGAGTCTGATGACGGTTCGGATGACATAGATGCGCCGAAGAGAGAGGGCCTGACTGATGAGGAGGAGGAAGAGGAGGAGGAGGAGAGGCAACGTGCTGCGGCGCTGGAGGGCCCAGAAGAAGAGGATGAGGACGTTGGAGAGAAGGATCCTGAAGAGAAGAAAACCGATTAACACAGGGGCACCTGCTGGATAGAGGATCATAGGCCTAGTCAAATGCAGTGACATGAAACTCAAAGACATATCAATGTGTTAGCCACTGAATTATGTTGAAAGCAAACAGCCTCTTTAATGATGGAGTGTAAACACTGTTCACATGAAGAAGGGATGGCTGCGAACCAAACATACCATCTTATTTATTATGATTCCAACCAACCAACCAGTGGTTAATTCCATGTGACGTGTGACACCCTGATTTCATAGGTCAGTGTCTTGAAACCACTTTTTTTTTTGTCGCATACCGAACTATTTTTCATTTTAATTCTCATTTTCTATATTATCCTACAGTAGTAGAAACTGATTGATGTTGCCTTTAAATTTGCCCTCAATCCATTGTGTAGGCTTGTGTAGGCTTGTGTATTGTTATTGACGCGTGTAGAATGAAAAAGAAGTGCCCAACAAGGAAAATCTGCCATCGTTGAAATGTGCAGTTTTTGTTTTTAATTCTGTGTTATTGCCTAAAAATATTTCTTCTTATAAAGGGTTACAAAGTGCCCAGACAGTTCTGCACTTCACCGCATTTCTCTGTCAGCCATCTGCTGTCATTAAGAAAGACTGGGGACAATAATCGGGATCACTCGCTGTGATACCGACACACGGCAGATGGACATTTTTAACCCATTTCCTTCCAACATGACCAACTGGGTAAAAACAAATAAAAAATATCCTTATATAGACAGGTTGTACCTGTCTAGCAAAAGCCATAACATGCATCAGTAGCTCCTGTGGATCTTAACAAGTCATATTCCTCAGACAGACAAGCTCTGTCTGTTTCCATATTTCAGGCTATCCCCCATCACCGGTTTCTATATTCAATTCATTTGACATTTGAAGTTTACATCCCAATGCCCTGAGATGTACACAGAGCATGTAGAACATTAGGATTGTCTTTATGCTGCTGAGTTGTTGTTGTTGTTGTTCTTTTCTTTTTTTCTTTGTTGGTCTCAAGGCATAGAGATCCTGTATACCCTCTCCTTGTGACTAAAGTGTGTGTAATAGCTGAAGTCAAGTAGGGATAATGGATTCCTCCTTAATTCACCAGACCAATCTATTTCATAAAAAGACAGAGTGTTCCCAAAATCCTCTACACCCAGTGTAATAACATTTTCATGAAAATTCCACAGTACAGTGCACCTTACTGGATTTAGGGTGCAATGAGGCAGAGACCTCAAAGCATCTGAAAACACAACTTGAATATCTGTAAAATAGATTCTTACTCTCAGCTGGTACGGCGAGTTACGTGGCGTCCACCTTTTCCAATAAAGATCAATTTTCTTCAATATAAGATTTTCTTTAATGTTCTTTTCTTGTTTTTTGCCAAGAGTTAGAGGACATGGTTGATGCTGCTGACATGTGTCTACGTCAGCAGGTAGGCAGCTTATAGCATAAAGACGAAGCTGGGCCGCGCTCGCCCGGCTCTGTCCAAAGAGCTGCCTCAGAGCTCCTTTAAAAAGCAGGAATAACAGTAATTTCACCATTCGGTTCTAGTTCAGTAACCCATTCGACTCAATATAAGCACACCTTTTCTCTTTTAAAAGAAAATTGTTATTATCTGTGGTTTACTGTGAAGCTGCGCTAAAGGAGCCATGCCCTCGCCTTGCCTTCTGGTCTGTAGTTGCCTACCACTATCTGCCAAACTTCCCGTTAGGGTTTGAATTGAGTTTGTCACATTTTATTACAGGTTTGAAAGATTGAAATAAAGATGGTCGTCTTTTTTTCTTGCTCATTGGAATTTCTTTCTTTTTTTCATCATGTAATGTCAGGTTGTTAGGTTTCCTTTTTTGTTTTTTCTTTTAGGTCTGTCAATCTTCCAGCTACCGTGCTGTGCAAAAGTCTTGAGCCGGTCCTCACATCTTTGTTTTACTTCCAAGCGCCAGAGTTACTTAAAATTTTTAAAAAGTGGTTGTGAGCAGTAGTTCTCTGGGCTTTTTGAAGATCTTGGACATGATGCCTTTTCCCCTCAGCAGTGTGGGTAGGCGGCGTGGACATTGAGTTTGTGAATTTGGTAACTCGAGAATGAGGTGAAATAGGAGCTTCAAGTTGATACCAAAGGTGTATCTACTAAAAGCCTTGGACAGGATTAAAACTCAGTGACCTAGACCTCAAAGTCAGAGGTAAATTTCACTAAGAACACAGTAAGATTTTCAGTTAATGCCATTGGTGAATGTCCTAAAAATTTTGGATGTGTCTCAGGGACCTTGATCTGAAAGCAAAAGTAAGTTTTCTGACCATCTTGTGTATGCAATAACAAGATGATGTAGGATTTTGTAATTGATACTATAGGTGGCTGAGGGTAGCAGTATCACAGTATTTCAGTATAATGATTTTGTTTGGTAAGCTATGTAACAGTGACCTGTTACGGCTAACAAGGCTCCTAACTCAAAGAATGAACCAGTGCCAGGTCTACACCAACACATACCAGACAAAAAAAACAGTTGTAGGTGCTTTGTTAGTTGCAGGTTGTCAGAAAAACACACTGAATATCTTTAGCTGCATGTATGAAAAATGCCAAAGATGACAGAATCTGACAGACATAAAATAGTAATTTTGTACAAAGTGATTCCCAAAGAGTTATTAATCAACAACTGGCAAATCACAACACATCTACACTGAAAAAGAAATGGCAGCAGGTGTTGCTTCTGACTTTAAACCCTGGTAGAATAATACAAACTCCTTATGTGCTGTATTTCCTTCTGTACTAATGAATAAATCACTGCACGTATTTTCTTTGGTAAATGGCCTGTATTTATATAGCGCTTTACTAGTCCCTAAGGACCCCAAAGCGCTTTACATATCCAGTCATCCACCCATTCACACACTGGTGATGGCAGCTACATTGTAGCCACAGCCACCCTGGGGCACACTGACAGAGGCGAGGCTGCCGGACACTGGCGCCACCGGGCCCTCTGACCACCACCAGTAGGCAACGGGTGAAGTGTCTTGCCCAAGGACACAACGACCGAGACTGTCCAAGCCGGGGCTCGAACCGGCAACCTTCCGATTACAAGGCGAACTCCCAACTCTTGAGCCACGATCGCCACGATCTTTGAAAAACATAAAGAAATGAAGGCTGCTTCAAGACTTTTGCACACTATAGTTCTCTGCCAAGCTTCAATTATCACACAGACAAATGTGTTTTTTTTTCTTCCCCCCCACTTCCACCATTATAATCCTTGGCAGAGGTGTGTACTCACATATGGCAGATATAATCACATTTTTGGAGATCTAGGTTTAACCAGGGCTGATTGCTTTCCTTGATGTGAAACTCATTTATTTCTTCTCTTTAGGGAAAGACGATGTTCTCAAGTCAAACTCAGAAACGTGACTTTACATAATGAAAAAGCACACCGTCAGCATACTTCCCTCACATGATTTGAGAGGGGGGAAAAAAGTGTTGCTTTTCGTAAAGTTTGATTGGTTGTTTTCAAGTCTGATAAAGTCAGAGAATTTTCCAGCGGATGTCTTTTTGGGGACAAATTACCACATAGGGGGAGATAATATATTACTACATCAGAATCAGTGTCATTGAGTGGTGCTGATGCAAAAAGTAATTCATCGCTCAATTACCTCGCGCTATATTCTGAGAATGAGTTTCATCGTGTGCTAAATGAAGGAGGCCTGGTGTCTCTCTCTCTCTCTCTTTTTCCCCCAAAGTACCAACAGTCTGGCGCGCTAGACAAGGGCAATTACACACTGAAGCTCGTTCTGACGTCTGTCTTATGTTGGAATGGCAAATTAAGGCGAGATAGTAATCATCTCATTTCTGACTCACATGGGAGGTGTTTAATGGTTTAGGTTCACATGTAAGGTCAAAGCAAAAAATAAAAAAGAAGGAAAGATAGATGGTTATTTCCGTTAATGCTTCAACCCTCCATGTCGAGTGTAGTCTGAGCTCAGTTGGTGTCAATCAATAGCAAGATGAGAAATAGCTGATTAACTTTGCTCACCATGGAAACCAGCCCACACTTGTTCTCTGTGAGTCTTTGCAGATCATGTTAGAAACAAGAGTATTTTATTTATTTATTTATTTATTTTTGTATGGTTGATAGATGGCTGCAGCTGCCCGATTCCATCTGTTTGCTGCCACTATAGAAAAATACCTCAATGCCTAATTACACAAACAATGTAGGCAAATCTGCCCTTTTGAGATATCTCACCTCCTCTCAGTGAATCGGTGTGTGTGTGTGTGTGTGCACGTTTATTTCGTTCAATCATCAGCTGTTACATCCTTTCTCATAGCCCTGTCTATGACTATTTTTGGGGATCCGACTTTACCTCAACAGTTCAACTGGGCTTAATAGGCACTTGTCAGCCTGTCAGTCGATAGACGGGGCTCGTTGCTGCCGTTTTCTTCTGTGCGCTCTGACAATTTGGCAAACTTTTCCTCAGGGCTTGTGTGAAAATGATTCTGCAAAGATGGTTGCTGCCCATCAATGCTGTTACAACTTCTCCTGCAACAAAAAGCATCAAGTAGGCAAACTCCTGCAGGGGATGGTAACTGCAGATAGAAGCTGAGATAAGAACTCCGCATTAGAGCAGCAAACACACCCTGTTTTTGAAACACACACGTGGTAAAGAAACTATGTTTAGTTTGTGATGTCTGAACACTATTAGATCTCACCCATTATGGTACAGAATCATCACAAAGATTTCAACCCACTTATGCACGTGTGCCTTTTTCTTCCTTAAGTCCGTCTATTCCACATACTCTACACTTACTGGCCACTTCATTAGTTGCACCTTGTTATTGATGGATTGGATTCCTTTTTGAATTGAAACTGCTTTGTGGCATAGATTCAACAACATACTTCAAACATTCCTCTGAGGTTGATCTCACAGTCACAGCCACCAGGTTGCTGTCATGCTCAAGAAACTAGTTCTAGATTATCCGAGCTTTGTGACACCATGCATTATCCTGCTGGAAGCAACCATCAGAAAATGAGTACACTGTGGTCTCAAAAGGGATAGATGTGGTCAGCAACAATACTCAGGTGGGTTGTGGTATTTAAAACATGCTTGAGGGGCCGAAAGCGTGCCAAGAAAATATCCTCAACACCAACAGCAGTGCTGGCATTTGCTCACACAAAGCCGGACGGTTCCATCCAGTTTCGAGACTCATCAGACCAGGCAACGTTTTTCTTCTATCAATCTTCTTTTGTTCAGTTCTGTGAGCCTGTGTGAAGCCTCGGTTTCATGTTCTTATCAGACAGGAGTGGCACTTGGTGTGGTCTTCTGCTGCTATAGCCCACTTGCTTCAATGTTCAGAGATGCTCTTCTGCATACCTTGGTTGTAACAAGTGATTATTTCAGTTACTGTTGCTATTCTGTCAGCTCAAAGCAGTCTGGCCAGTCTACTTTAATCTCTTAAATAAGCAAGTTGCTTTTGTCCCCAGAGAACTGCAGCTCACTGGATATTTTCTTATTTTCAAACCATTCTCAGTAAAACCCAGGGATGGCTGTGCAGTAAAATCCCAGTAGATCAGCAGTTTCTGAAATAGTTAAACAGCTCATCTGGCACAAACAATAATGTCATATTCAAAGCCACTTAAAATTACCTTTGTTCTCATCTGAGATGCAGGTCATCCTTCAGACTACAGATATTTGCATTAACAAACAGTTGAACAGGTGTACAAGTATGCGTTGAAAGATCACAGAATGTTCTTGTACACAAACTATTTGAGAGCTGTATCAAAAACAGTACCCAAATAACTTTTAAACTACATTTATTATTATATTATTATTATTTCATGTTCAACCTGATGGACACGTGTGCTACCTCTGCATCCTGTGCTCCACAAGCTCTGTTTTCTCTGCTCGGGTGTTTATTTTTAATCTAAAATTTGGTATTTTATTGTTGCAGTCCATGAGGGTTGACTAAGCAGCATCTTCTGGAATAAAAAAAAGGTAAATCCATGGCTATGCAATAAACTACAGCTGGGGGCGGGGGGTTGTATTATTTCATAAGTGATTCATTTGGACACTGGATTTAGATTCATGGTCACTTTGATTATTCAAATGTCCCATCAAAGGCTCCCATGTTCCTCAGTTCTTTATATGTGCCATCCTAAGGTTCCTATTCTCTCCAGCTAACAGGAAGCTAATAAACAAGGTGCTCTGTATGAAGTTAAAGTAGGTTATCAAGAACTAGAGTCAGTGTTTGGGTGTCCATCCCACAACAGATATTTTGATTTGCTATATTTCTTCAAAATCTATAAACAAAAACAACTTTAATTCTTTATTTTAACATTTTGAAGCCTCTACATTCAGCGTTATGTCTGCTTACAT